CTGCACCTCAAAACACGTTTTGACATTGACTTGCTTTAGGTCATAATTATTATGTTAATTTGAAGTATGTTCTTTGAGTAAATTTTAGCCTGCGACAAGATTGAATTTGTTTTAATAATTGAGGTATTTGTCCACAATTTTTGAATTTACCCTACAGCAAGTCGTTATGGGTGCTGGTGTCATGAATAAGAAGGATGCTAAAAGGTTTAGCAGCGCTTTAATGGAGTTGCCTCGTATTCAGTGTGAGCTTGCAAAGGAAACTTCGTTTCTTTGCAGAGAAGATCTTTTACTTAGACTGCAGAATATATACGGCACGCTTCTATTTATTAACCCTTTGTTTTCCATGGAGCGAAAATATGAGGTTGAGCTATGGAACACGGTATTTAAAAATCCGATAACTGCGTGTCAAGCAGCGGTAAGCTATATTGCCTGTTTTCTGATGTGCGTACAAGTTAGCAATGTCGTTTAGTGCATTTTGCATTCTTTGTTGTGTTATAGCTCCAATTGTTTTAACAAGCGTCAGTTGGTAACTGGGATATTTTATTCCGTTTTTTATGCAGCTGTACTCTGTTATTTATTATAGTTTGTGGTGAAATGAATCATTCTACAATTATAGTCGAAGTTTCAACATAATCTCTCTATTTACATGTTGCAACAGTTGATAGAGTATTAACGGCTTTTTTAGTGCATTTTCCCTGTCGAGTACATTTTATTGACTCAATTGAATCTTTTGCTGTCACACGATGGCGCAGTTGCGGTTTATGTTACATCTGTCAATTGTGACTATTTGATAACTTGAAGTGTCTATTTATCTTATGATTGTATTCCGTAACATTGCTGTGGTATTTGAGGAACGTTTGAGTTCACATTTACCGTCAATAGCTTCTGTGTAAATGCTAATTCTTGAACTGCTCCTTTAAATTCCGAAATTCCGATGTGTTATAATCCAGATTAAAATACGAAATTAGCTATCGAAATGTTTCTTTAATGCGGTTTAAGGCCGAGCTTAAACCCTTTTTCATATACTTCCTTTTTTCCGCTTACCTCTCTTTTTTTCAGCTTCGTCAGGATCCGGGTAGTTCGTTATTTAGTCGCCCAGTAGCTGAAGTTCAGCATCGTCTGGCCTCTCTTCTTGACCGGGCATCTGGGTTTTACTCAAGTTTAGTTCAAAAGCTTCTTTGTCGTATTCCAGATTTCGCCTGGCCAACGAACGTATGTCTGTTGTTCTACGAATGCTTGCGTCGTATTTTTTAAACGTTTATTATTACTGTCTTATTTAAGGTCTTTCATTTCTTCGCTGACAATGCCCCCACTAATGGCAAGACTTTTTGCGATGCGGGTCGCCTTGATGTTGATTCACTAACACTCAAAATTCAGCAAGTTCGCTTTTCTCGCGAAGAGAAAGCTGGCTTTCGTAACACCTCTCACTTGGCTGCAGAAATTGAAAGCACCCAACAACGTCCCACAATACTCTCGCGGGGTTCACGGCTTCCCAATTCTGGAGATACACCAATTTGTCCACGAACTGTGGAAGCCAAGGATTCTCCTCAGATTTACCTTAGTTTCACTGATTCACTTTCATATCTCCTACAACATTGCCTCATTCATCTTGGCGACGTGGCAAGATATCAGCATCAATACACTGTTGCAGAGTCCTACTATACGTGGGCCTGGCTTGTTGATCCGTCTAGTGGTCACGCCTACAACCAATTAGCTATCATAGAATCAACCAGGGTAGGCTTTATCACCATTAATCTGCAAATGTATTTTGTTTATCGTTACTCATCATAAAGGATACGGTGATCTTATTGGATTGTTCTTTAGTAAGGCTTTAAGTTCTTTCCAATTTTGATGTGATAACTTCTCTAACAAACAGAAAGATTTGTCGTAAAACTGAAAGATAGTGCCTGGTTTTCTTGCTTTCGAGATTGCCTAGCGTTATCTTTTACTACTGTATTTATTTTCTTTGCAGTTGAAGAGACGGTTAGACAGCCTGTGCTACTTTTATGTTCGAGCGATTGCTTGTTCACATCCTTTCCCGGCAGCTGGAGAGAATCTTACCTACACGATGAACACAATAATTGCGGCTACCGAAGATTCTTTCTCGAGTCTCTTTTGTGATTATCCGGCAATTAGTGACTTATGTGATCTTCTGTTATGCCCTCTTCCATTACTCCTTCGATTTCATTCCTTTGCCAGAAATAGCAAAGGTAAGTCTTATATTGGAGCTCTTTTTTGCTCCACGTCAGTTACTCATCAGCCAAATGCTTACTCAGATCTAGATAAGGTTGTGCTTAATCAAATTCGAGGCATTTTCCTGATTGCCTGCAACTATCATATGCGCTATTATGAGAAGACAAACTTAAGTTCCATCGATTAGGTGTTGCTTCTTTTAGACATCGCGGCCATTTCAAAGGCAGCAAGCGAATTCTCTTCAGCGACAAACGCCTTGGCAATGATAGTTAATAGTGACTCTGGTTCATTTGTTTTGCCGGCACCACTCAACGAACGCAGTGCCAAAATCGCTGCTGCCTTTGCGTCTTTTAATCTTCCAAGTGACCCGATTGAGTCACTACGGAGGATTCAGGTTCGACTTATGAATTTGGTTGTTTTGCACACCTTCGGTCTGCAATCTAATTGGTCTCATGAAGACGACAGGGTAGGAACTGCGTGTTTGCATTATTAAAGCATTAAAAGGGATTGCACTTAGGTTTCCGTTTCTTTTAGAATTGTGTCCGACATTGTTTAATTTACACGACAGTGTCTCTGGTTAATTGGCTATTTGTTTTCGTGATCGCAATTCGAAACAAATACCCACATGTGAAGGATGATCTTCCAGTTACTCCTATTTTACTAATGGCTCTGGCTCTTAACGCTCAGTGTGGTTCAAAAGGTGCGGGTAATTTAATTATCTTTATTACGATTTCACTTCGGAGCCTACATCTGCATCGTTGGAAAATTTACAAATGCGTTTTTCAGTAGTTACATCCAACCCTAGATATACCTCAAACTTAGCTCTTAGCATTTTTCTCGCACAGACGCATATTTTTTATTTGAATCATGTGCAAACAATTTCACCAACTATAAAAGTCATTGCTATGGATGCAGATTTAGTAAGTCTTAAAGCGGATTTATGTTGGCATGGAGTATTTATTAAATTTGCCTTTTGAGACACCTGGCAGTCAGAAACGCTTTGTGGCGCCACTTTGATTAGGGACCCCTCACTGTGACAATGTGGTCTCTCACTTTGAGCTAAGTGTATCATCTCTAATGCTTCTGTTTAAATCCAAAATTGCTTCCCTCATTTTCTCGTTTTGTTGATACTGATTATGACGTTTGCTAATCGCTATTTTTTCCTATCATCGTTAATTAGCTAGCAAAGCGTTATCTGATTCCGAAATGCTTGAAATTTCTCCACCTCTAAGCAAATCAGCGGTCGCATTCCTTAACTCACTGGCGTGCTCCACAGTCTCTTCTCGCGCATCAGCTGAAGGTCTTTTCAATGCGTTTCTACCTGAGTTATTTGCACTTCAGGTGACTCATTAACGCTTTAACTTTTCATTAGACTGGTTGCTTTTTCAAACTCGGCTCAATCGAAGCAGCAATAATAGCCACTTGTAGCTTGCATATTGTGCAGCATTCGAAAAATGGATAAAACTAATTTTGGTTACTAAAACACTCTGTAATGAGTAGCCTTCAAAAGGCAGTAAGCATTTAATATACCTCTTTCCCCACAAAGTTTACGTAGTACAGAACTATCACTCCCTTTGTGGCCTTTGTAAACCTCTTTTTCTAAATCACCCCTCAGTAAATTTCGATACGCACCATAAAAGCATTATATACTGCCTATGTTATTTTAACTATTTGTGCTCAAATGAGACGGATGTTTCTTTAATTTTATCTTTCATAACCGCTTTTTGTATTGTACCTTCATCGGTGATCGGTGGGACTTTAGAGAAGAAGCCTCTTAAACTAGTTCTGCCTTGTGGCTTTTGCTCAAATGCATTCAGGGATAATTGTAATTTGTCAATGCGTCCAGCTATGTTTCTATGTAAAACAAGACTCAAGAATCAACTCGCACACTTTTAGGGCATTAATATCAAAATTATGTCGACTCTGCATCCAGATACGTAATTTATTGTGAATAATAACTGTCTACTTCTACTAACACAAGTCAGAAGTAGTAGCAACTGCATTCAAATTTAGGCATCTCTTTCCATCTTCTAAGGGCTTCACCCCAATGGGTATTCCTGTTTTCAACAAACCACTGCAACCAGGCCCGCTTGGGGGACTTACACCTGATTCCCTGTTTAACAGTGATTTGATGATCCAGGATTCTGCATTGAAGGAACGGACGTCACTACTTATTGAAACCTTCAGGTATTTATAATTTCTGTGATTTATTCTAAAATTTCGTGTCTTCGGAAAATTACTGAGTTTGACCAACTTTCTACGCCTATATTTTCCTATTTTGAAACTTCAATTGTCATCCTTATTGGATGATTTGAAAGAGAAACGTCAACGGGAACGATGAAGATCTGCGTTGAGCATAACGTGGACCGAAACTTCAGCAGCGTGGTTGTCATTGCATGGTATCGGTTTAACAAATTGCGATGAAATAAAATTAATGTATTTATTAAATAGGGCCATTTTCTGTCAGTCCGAACTTTAAAAAAGGTGGTTTTATGATCACAGTGTTTATGGGTGCCTCAAAAGTGGCCTCAACGTTCCTATGTCATTTTACGAGGTCTTTCCAGTGGTTTAGTCGCAGCTATAGCTAGTTATGTTACGGAAGAGTTAATCTTCACTGAAGCATGGAAGACAAGCTACCAACTTAATAGAACTGACCCTTAACTAATGCCAGACCAGGTCATTTGTTTTGCTAAGCCTTTAACAAAATTAATTCTAGGAATTCACCCTGACCCCGACTTAACAAATGTGGAAGACACTGCTCGTGTCACTTTTGTGCATTTTAGTGAAAGAAGTGATCGAAACTGGTGTGTGTTGTACTACAATAAAATTGGTAAAACTGATTTAAAATAACGAAAATTTGTAAAAAAAAATCAAAATCACACGTGCTAAAAGCGAAACTCGTTACGATAAGGAGTTGATGGTTGTGTTCGCTTAGCGTAATGCGTGCTACAATATTTGGTATTGCTCTCTGGAATGTTCCAACCTGTGAAATAACGCCATCGGAGTGCGAAGATCTCAGCTCTGAAAAGGCCTGGCTTAAAGGCGTAAGATGCTCGCACCGTGTGTCAATTTTGAGCGTTTTTGTCATGGTATCTCTACCCAACTTGTAGTTGCTTAGTGGAAAACCCACGTTCACTAAAAAGCACAATTCGTAGATACAAATACTTCATAATTATATCTGGATTCGATGTTTTTTTCACAATTCTTGAGCACTATTTGTTCTAGGTCAGTGGCCAAGAAATTGCCCAGCTTGTTGAGGTGGTCTGATGAGGAGGAAGCATTTCTCAGTGTTGATCGCTGTGCGCCTCTTTCTCCGCAACCATCGGTCTTTGCACCTGGGAGCCCTTTGGTTAATGAGGAATTGAATCATTCTGAACCAGAGCCTCGGGGCAGTAAACAGGAAGAAGATGGAAATCAGAAGAGCAACCTTTCTGGGAACCTGCTAACGCCAAATTCCGACGAAATAACTGTACGCATTAGTTATCTGTTATCCTGTTAATTTGCTGCTAATAATTTTATTACTATTATGTTAATATGTACATATTAACTGGTAGTCATTCGATCGCACTATAAATTGGTACTCAGAAAATGGGTATGTGGTCTAGCTTATTCATTTCTGTTCACATTTATTCGGTGTATATTACCAACCAGAAGCAATCGTTATGCATGCTTGATATTCAAATTCCTTTTTAAAATGCCATTCCACATTGACACGAAAATGCTGCAATCACGAGGCATAGAGTATTCTTGTTTGGAACCAGGCAGCTTGTGCGTGACCATGCACAGACCCTTCAGCACACTTTTTGCTCAAATTCGTTACAACCTCGGGAGCGCTTTTATTTTAGGAGCCGCATGAAACTAACTTGAACTGTGAGATCTGCGAAGTGGCAGGTAGCCATGGAGGTGAAGGGAAGGAGAACCCGTCGGTGAGAATACCAGCTAGCTGTGATGACGCCAACAAAGGACAAAGCGTCGATGTCACAGTTAATACAGAATTGGCACGTTTTATCCAGGAACAGGCTTGTCAAGTAAGTCACTGGACTGTATTCTTTCAATCAAAAAATCGTCACAGTGTCGGACTGTCAATCAATCAAGCCCTCCAGGCACTTACTGAACTGGAATTAGTTGTTGATCGACAACTTGATTTGAATCGGATTTAAGTCAGGACCTCGATTTGCCGCACTCATTAATAAGTTGTGGCTTATTGCCCAAGTGAGAAGCATTAAGGTGATATTGAAGCTGAGGAGTACGAAGTGCATGGTAACTGGCCACATTAATAGCAGTGTGGTTTAGGCTTTTGGCTCGCTTATGAAACAATAGAATCAAGTTAAGTCGATGGATTAAAAAAGCACTTAATGGGGCTAATTTAACCATGGCATGTATGAGTTAACGCTATGCTCAGAGTTAAACATTTAATTAGCTCGTCTGCTGGATATGGTAATAAAATTAAATTGTCCAATTACCATATTCATGCTGCCGTGTTTCGCTAGTTTTATGTTTGATGTGCTACTTTCTTGAAAGTGATTTGATTCACGTAAGTACAAACCTCTTATAATCAGTCACGTCCCCAGCAGTCGTCTACTGCTTGCCACATTTCCGTTGGAATGAATGAAATTGCCTTTCTGAAGAACTGATAAAGCTGTGAAGTGGAAGTTGAATATTTATTAGTAAAGATGTAGGCAATAAAATTGCAAACACGGACGATCGGCTTATTTCAAGAACTGCTGTCATAGCATGGAAAAGTCCAGCACAGTTAAGGCAACAATAACACAAATCAGGCATTGATGGCTCGCCATACTGGGTGGTCATCTAAACCATGTAGCTCCTATAAGGTTTATGCGTGCATGCCGCCTTGGTTACATTCAGTATTTTACCCTAAAAATGAACATTTGCTAAATGCTAGTTTAAAGTTCCCTGAACTTGACTTCATCTGCATGGTAATTGCTTCTCCAAAATGCTTTGGAGCGATCTAAAGATGCGTTAGCATAAGCTAAATTCTTTCGTATACGCCTTCTTGATAACTTTTTGGTGGCTGAGTCCTGCCTAAACAATGTAGATTTCATGCGTTTTATAATGAGTTGTTGCGTGAACTGAAGTAAATTCCTACGCTTCATTACCCTTGTTAACAGGCTTTAATGTCTACACGTGCGTAATCTTCATAAAATAATGACATGAGCGAACTAGAATTCCGACATAAGTGATTACTTGGTCTTGAAGAGGCAAGCCTTAATGAAAACGATAATCGCCATATCGGCGTCTAAAATACCCGTACAAACAAGTACTGTGAATGACCAATTCGCAGATCCGTTATCAGTAAAGCGTTTTTTTTCTTTTTCTCAAGGTAGCAGCTCGTCAACATAGTCGGATGGCAACTGGTGCCATCAATTCAACGTCGACCAACCACAGCTACACATCGTCGCGCTTTAACTTCGAGAGAGACCTACCCCCTCGGTTCTTAAAACAGGAGAAAGATGCCCTGCACCAATCATTAGTAGGTGGTCTGAATCACTGAATTTTTGCCACAAATACAAAACGAGGGACTTACCAAACAACACCGTAATCGATTTTAACTGAAAACAGATATCTGTCAGACAATTTTAAAAGCTAGCCCCGTCAAACGTGATCGTCAATATTTCGACTACTTCATTGATGGTTATCCCAACAGCATTATACTAGTGAAACCTCCACAAATGAATTCAACGCATCAATGAGACACTGTTTTACAGTAAAAACGCACTGTTGTGCTTATGTGCAAAGCACGTGACTCCACGCTTTAAATATTACTAACTTAGGTTCTGTGTATACCACTAGCTTTTGCGATTTTCGTTGCTGGGTTCCACTTAAAATACATCGAAAGGTAGCATAGTTTTTCTTCATCCCTAGCTTAACCAACCTGCTCCACTCGCACTCAAGGAGTCAGAAGGCAATCTACAGGAGCAATGCTTCCACGTACGTTATAGACACTAATTGTCATTTCCGTGTGTCTAGGGCTAATTCATTCTCACATCCGCGTGTAGTAACGTACGTAGTTTGGATTTTTTGTATGAATGCACACTTTCTGTAGTGATGCGTAGACTCTCACTCCGACGCACTTAATTGTGGTAAGTGCAAAGCATTTTTCGCCATGGAGTACATTCAGAAGCCGCGTGCCCTTAAACACTCATTCACACTGCGGTTGAAAATGTGTATTTAAATGGTCTGCAATTTTTTTACAGACCTTCTTGACCTTGTTAGTTATACCTCAGCCATCCAGTATTAACTGGATGTCATGGCATAAAAAGCTTAACATGATGGAGAATGTTTGAGAGGTTAGTTTCTCGTTCCCTAAACGCCGCATACGTTATTTGTAGCATGTATTTTCTGGACCTGTGACGTCCTCCTATAGTCAGGAATTACCACCAATCACATGCGGAGCTGCGTTACCATCCTTGTATGCCCCTATGTGCCAACCACCAGCATTCACAGGAACAACGTGCTTTAGCTCTGGAGGACCACCACAGAAATGGCCACCCCAAGCGGGAAGCTGGCTTCGCTACCCTTTGGTACCACCGCCTTCACTACTGCCGCTTAGACCACATCGGTAAGTAATTGCCAATGGCAAATGGGTCTCTACTGCATCCACGGTTTGTTTAGCACATCCGCTGCGATTATGGTGGGGATACCTGTTTTTTTAATGAAATCCTCCATACACCGGCACTCCATTGTGTTCCAGTTACGTTAAACTTACTGTTTTATACAACCACGGGGTGCCGATCGTGCACTTTCTTTGGGGCTCCATCATCTTACACCAGTAGGTGGTGATGCACAAGTATTTGGTGACAAGTACCCCAAGCGGGAACACATTCGGATGTCGAGACATAACACAAGAAATGAGGATTGCATCAGAGGCGAAGGTTTTCGGTGATCGAGCCTATCTAGCTCTAGCACAGGCTGGCGCTGAGGCACTTGAAGCAATCAACACCACTCCAAGAAAACAGTTAATTGCTAATATCTCCGACCTGGTCTTCATTACTTGTTTGCCATCAATTTCATTAGAGATGTTTACTACTTTGGTTTTGCTGGGCCACTACCTGAGTGATATTTTGGCGGGCTAATTTGATCGCAGTAACATTGGCCCTAACACCATCTTCAGGTTTGGTGGGTTACCCTCACTGCAGCGCACATTACTGTACATAATTCTGAAATTTCCTGCTTCGCAAGCCAACACACACACACACACACACACACACACGGATAATCCATAGATAGGACCGTGAGGTCACAGTCACAATAATTGTTAGGAAGGCAAATATTTTATTAACGGAATCAATCTAACACAATTATTTCCTTCCTTGTCAAATAATTCGTATTCGCTCACATCAACCCTCATTATTGTCACTTTCAGTAGCTCTACTGTATCAATTTTTACACCTTTTCCTCCTGTATCTGTCCATGAATGTTTACCATATACGAATCTTCTCGAACGACCCAGTAAACGGTTGGGTTGCTATTGCTTTTGGCCTTCTTATTCTCCGGGTGCATTGTGCCACATTTTGCTCCGACTAATCCACCCAAACAAGTCATCATTAGCCGAAACACACCAATTTTTCGGTGATTCGTCGAAAGCTTCGGTCATGTTACAGGGCAGTTTGTGAAGGCAGAGTTGAGACGCATTCTGCAGCCTTGTATCATTCATCCGTTCGACTGCCTTTTTGGCCTGATCATTAAACTTTGCACCTGTTGACCGTCTCGTCAGCAGCAAAGGTTCTTGTCTACTTCGTTGAAGCAAAACGCGTGTTGGAACACTTGGTGGTAACCTCACCACTTCCTTGATTTGAGTCAACCCGTAAATGCTCTTCCAATCATTGCTCCGTATTAGCTTGACCAATTGGTACCACGTGAACATCTTCGATTGTGCTGGAGGTCTAGCCTAGTCCTTTCTTCTTGTTCATCAAGAGAATCTATGGTAAATTACGAGGAAATTACTGCCTGATGCTCAATCAAATCAGTCCGTTGTTGATAATGGCAATGTAGGCGAACAGTTGTGAGGCAAGTGAATTGCAAGTAGTTGAATTAATTTAGCAATTTGACCTGGGTTGAGCCTTGTTTATGTCACAGCTGGTAGAGTGACGTGCACAATCTCGTTACGGTTCACTCGTATCGACAGTCCGGTTGAATTGGCACCTATGAATGCCTACGACGGGTGTGAAAATACGCCAGGGCGGAGAACATGCATTTTTCTCATCCATAGATAAGTACAGCAACCGACAACTTTATGCCAAATCAATGAAAGGAACACGACCAAACGTACTTGGATCATACAAAACGGGACCTCGATGCTGTAGCGTTTGTCTCATTCAAAAATTTTGCACAACCAAAATGGAGTGTCCCTAGTAGATCGGGGAATGACTGGTTTTTGTTTTCGACGTCCAAAAGTGCATTGCTGGGACTCCAGATGCCTGATTAAAGAAAACAGCTTGGAGACATAGTGGTCTTTTTCAAAGGGACAGATTAAATGTGTGCTACCCGAAATATAGTTTGAAGGAGACAGGTAGGACAAGACAGGCTTGCTTTTGCATGACTGTTGATCTTCGCTTTGGCCATTCAAGCACAGAAGGCCAAATGGTCGGCCCGCTTCATGGCGTGATGCAATATGATTCTGCCCCTGTAATAACACCACAGAAGTTCTTAATGTGTTGTCGGCCCGCTTGTTTTGGTATTATCGAAGGACAGTGCTTATTGATGCTCACAGTGCCGTGTTGTTTGTTATGCCACCTGTTGTGAATTGTGTTGAGCCCCGGTCGCTAATCCGATTACATCAACCCCCGACACAGGGTCCCCCATTTTACAGCATCTCACCAGCCTCGTGGATCCTCAACTCCCCCTCACTCGCACGAACATGTATCCTGGATTATCCTCACACCTAGGTTTCGATGTTAGCTCATTTATGGCTCACACATCTAAGCTATAAATATGCACGCAAACGCCACCCCTGACACGCACGACGACGACCTCGCTAAGTCCCCAAATAAATGCTTGACTTTCTGTCCTTCCGCAGACTTCATCCTTGTTGAGTTGTTAGCGGTATATGATTTCTTTAATTTCTTTTAGCCCAGTGGCGTGGCAAGGAAATAACCATAGTCACTCGAGTTTGGTGTCACAAAGCGATTCAACAGAAAATCGATGTCAGGTATGCCGTCCTTTTGGGAACATTCCTAAGTAGATTCTAGAAATAGGTTTTTGGTGACTTGTTTAAGAACCAAAATTTAAATGCATTCTTTCAATGTCGAACACGATCTTGAATAGGTTAGGAATGTTTAGAGGAAGTATTGTACCTTGCTGTGGTACTTATTTCTACATGACCTGGTAGCCGTAACAGATATTCCATATTATTTAGGATACGTCGAAGTCAGCGTTTACTTGAGGTGTGGAAGGAAAACGAATCGACGCGAAGAAGTATGACAACTTGGTGATGTTTGCTGCCACAGTTTGGGTGTGTGTGTGTGTGTGTGATAAACACACGTGTGCTCGCAACGTAACGAGCCAGCTCCCTTACAAGGCGACAGGCGCCGTGATTAGCTGTTGCCACCGCTGCTACACCAACAGATTTTTGGCCACTAAATGCATACACGCACATCCACGCCTCTAGAGGCTCTTCGCCGGAGGGTGGTGCTTACTATTGCCTTCCTCCCCCAATATCACCCTTTTAGTTTTTAACTACGTTCATGGTGCGTCTTAGTCTGATTGTTGTCCGTCCAACCTCACTGTCCAAAATTAGCTACTTACCTCTAATAAACTGCCTGTTTTCCCATGTTAACTGTCATGTCCGGCATATGTCGGTTCAATATAGTCTGTTTTGGCAATAGTTGGCGAGTGATAGCCTTTCAATTCGATTCATATCTTGTAAGATTCTTGCATTCCTTTTGAGTTCTTTGGGAGTATTGTCCAACTAGGAGTATATCATGGTTTAACGGTTGTTATTGCCTAGATGGTGATAATTTAGACCTACTCTGCCGTGACTAACCTCTAGGCTTGGGTCTGTGTTTATTTTACCCAAGCCACTCCCTGTACATGGGAACTCATGGCTTGACGCCCCTGTGTCTTCAAATTGTAATAATTAATACTTAGGGAAAACTGGGTGTTTGGTGGGTTCATTGTCGCACGTTGCGGTGCGAGGCTTGCTTCTTGTGTGTCCGTGAAAGGAGGCATGTTGAGTATGGTGGTTTGATCGGGGAGCTACACAAACTACAGTTGGCGTAACAACCTTGTGACGTAACAAGTGTATTTTTGGTGCCAAGTCACTTTCTGTACAATGGCGTTGGTTGATATTGAATTAAGTTCGTGAGTTATGGAATAGTATTAGGTGAGTGCTGGTTTAAGTAGCGAGTGCGAGAGCTGTACTCTATCAAATCTATCTCCGAGTCACACCAGCGCGTCCGCCTTAGCTCCTACATTTTAAGTGTCGATTAACGTACATTTCGAATACTTTTGATGGGTTTGACGGACTTTACTGGTATGGGTGTGTGGAAAACAAACATGAGAGCCAGTGTGAATTTCAGGGGTTGCACCATTAGAAATGCTCGAATTGGCTGTAGACATACATGTAGAATTGTGCCATAAGCTCAACAAACGTGTGTGCTTCATTCTGCAAAGTGGACTAAAAGTGAAGAGCGTCCTTAATTGCTGTGCAGAGACAATGGAAAACAACGAAAAAACAAAGTAAGTAGGACTAATTGTATCCAGGTTCAGCTTCTAGCCAACTTACACATCCTACAATAAGTATTGCATGAAGCAGGACATTAGTGTAATTGAATCGTAACTGCGATATTTTTTTAGTTATTTTAAAGGTACACCTTTGGTTAAATATGACAGTGGAATGGGGTGGCGTTAATTGTCTTCATCGTACAAGTTCAGGAAATTGTCCAAAGTTTGCATTGCCTGAATGCAGCAGTATCGTGCGCTCTGATGGGAGATTGTTCTAAGTTACATGCAGTTAATCTTACCAAGTGTTCTGGAAAAACACCGAGGTTGAATTCGTCAGGGACAACAAAACAACCGGACCACTCTATATCGGAATTCTGAAGCTGATCATTTTTTCGAAGGATGATTAACATTGGTTGATAGCTCTAAAAAATCCAACTAAATTCAAAAACCCTAGGCTAAAATCACTAGTGCGTGGTTCGGAGCACTGTTGATCGGATAGAAGAAGAAGGGTCGTAGATCAGTGCCATGCAAATACTACAATTGTGTAATTGCACACAGCGCAAGTGTAAGTCAATGGGTTCTCTCGCAAAACCCTAACAAGAAAGCATTTTGGATAAAAGGATGATGATATCACTGACATTTTGACCAGCAGAAAACTATGATATATAAAATCTAAATTATGAACAGTGAATGTGTACAGTTGTGGTGAAGACGCGGCTACTTCATCACCTCTAAAATGTGACGGGTAAAGTAACGCATCATGGACTGGGTTCCGATAAATAAAACAGTAAGGAAGGCCTTTTACCTATAAAACATTTTGTAAAACTAGTGTTCACTAATTATAAACTTATTAAACGCCAAGTTGCCATTTTGGTGAATGAAAGGATGAATAAGAAACACAAGTCTAAGTGAATTCAATATGCAATATAAATATGCACGGACATGCGTCTTTTACAATTGTAATAAATAAAGTTGCCCATTTTCACTTCTTTTTTTCAACAATGGTGTACCACAGTCGCCTTGACAATTGTTTAGTTGAATTGCGATTGCTTCAGTGCTGCGGTAACGCATTGATCAAGTACTTTAGTGTATTATGAAAATGGACCAGCGACCGAAGAATATAAGCATTTCATACGTCCCTCAGTGTGACACAGTAAAATGCTTGCAAAGTGATATCAATACACACCTTCACATCACTCTTGCAAAGGATTCAAATACAGCCAGCTTACGGGATTATTATCTTGCCTTAGCGAATACTATATGGGAACGTTTGAGTCTGCGCTGGCTTCGGTCCAAACAGAACTTTTACAAGCGTGACTTGAAGGTGTGGTGTTTTTGTAGTTATTATTTCTAGAGGGTGTATTACTTATCACTGGAATTTTTCATTGGACGCACACTGGGAAATGCAATATTAAACCTTGGCCTTCGGGACCCGATTGATGAGTGCTTGGTTAATGTAAGTCTAGCTGTAGTCCAACTAATACTTGTCAATTTTTTTGCTATTCGAGGCGGCCTTTTGTGTCATTGAGCAATTTGATTTTGGAAGATTTAGTCAATTTCCCTCTTTGCCAATTGGCAGATGCATCCATTGATTCTATAACTGTAATTATCTGCTAGCAACCACGCGACGAATACCAAATTTACAAAATACTTGTGACCTAAAGCAAGTCAATGCAAAACGTGTTTTGCGGTGTGTTATATCCAACTACGATAGATACGGCAGCACTGGTGGCCATAAAACAATGCGCACGCATTCGGCACATTCACTCATTTTGCCCTGAATTGCAGGTTTAGAAGCACACGTGTGATTTTTATGCACGCAATGCACGTAATGTTGTAATGAAATCTAACTAATACTAGGGTTAATTTGATTCCATGTCGGATTTGTTGCTAACTACGTTGACTCAAAATGGACACGTGGAATTGCGTTGGGCAAAATAATTTTGTGTCAGAGAAATTAGGGCAAAATCATTGTATCGAATAGTTTGATAACGTCTGTGTTTAATAAGTAGGTAGATCAATAAGCCCATCATACTGCTTGAACAGAAATTACAGAACCTCAAATTCAAAATGCCTAAAACAGAGCTGAGTACTTGACGCCTTAAGACTAAGCTAAACAATAGAGATTTACTGAAAAAATATTTTAAGCCTTATGGTAAAATGGACGTTATAATATTTGTTGCAAGAAGTATTGGGTTACCATCAGCTTGGGTGAATTTTCGAATTTAATGCAATCACCGGGACACAGTGACGAATATTACCGTAAAGCCGTGTCGTCATAATTTTGATCAATTTTACTATGAAAAAATTCGTTTATCCGAAATGTTGCGAAAGTGTCCAGATGGTATTAAAACTGACTCAAGACATTGACTTAGATTTTATCAAACCACAAAACACATCAAATTTAAATGTCTCTGTCCAAAGTAACTTTCAGAATGACTGCAGTGATTTATGCACTAATCTTACTCTCTTGCCAAATATAGTGTATAGCTTGTTTTTTTTCAAGTTGATGCTGCACTGTTTTTTGTCGATAAATGTTTCCATGAATTTAAGTGATGTTTGTCTTATTTTTTATAGTTTTGATTTATTATTGTGCAGGCTTTGGCAGATGTAATTTCCTATTCGTTTTCATGTGTTTCATTTTGATTTTACTGCTTATTGTTTTGAGCATTTTTCTAAATTTGCACCAGCTTGGTTATCCCTGTATGTGATAATTTTTGTAGGTATGTATTTGCTTTTGTTATTACGTAAACGTAAATAAAGTTTGACCTTAATTAATTACTTTCAGATGGGACTGGATCTAGAAGATTTGGAGGACTGTGAACCAGATGCTGGTCTAGGAAATGGCGGACTGGGTCGGTTGGCTGCTTGCTTTATGGACTCTATGGCTAATTTGGGTATCGCAGCAACTGGTTACGGAATCCGGTATGACTACGGTATATTTGAACAAAAAATTATCAATGACTGGCAGGTAAGCCAATTGTGAAGTGTCTGTACTGCCTTGGATTGCCCATATTCTACTGATGTAACAATTTTTACTTTAGTATGAAGAGCCAGACGATTGGTTATGTTTCGGTAATCCTTGGGAACGCGTTCGTCAAGAGTTCTCTTTCCCTGTGAATTATTACGGTAAAGTTGAAGTGTACGGCGATAGACGAATTTGGACAAATACCCAAGTAATCTATGCAGTACCTTATGACAGCCCTATTCCCGGCTACATGTGCAATGTCTGCTGCACCCTTCGTCTTTGGGGATGCAAGGCACCCAAGAGCTTTGATCTGGAAATTTTTAATACCGGGGCATATGTTGAAGTAAGTTCAAATTTATGCGTCACCTTGTTACCTTGGCTACAAGCAAAATATCATCGTCCAAAGAGAGCACTGAATATAGTGTAATACCTACAAAGTTGAGCAAGAGCGTACTTTGGGAAGACCACATGAAAAAACGCAGCAGACCCATTTCGCGAAATTTAACAAAATTTTGTTCAGATTATCATGTAACATACCAATGAATTTGCTAGCAAAGTTAAGTTACAATAATTTAGTCATGATTTTTTTCAAATATTTAGGCTGTATTACATCGTAACATCGCGGAAAACATTGCACGGGTGTTATACCCTAAGGATAACAAATTTGAGGGCAAAGAGCTTCGTCTTAAGCAAGAATACATGCTTGTCTCTGCCGCCTGTCAGGACATTCTCAGGCGTTATCAAATGGTTGACGAGCATGGCCCGCGGAGAAAAGATTTTTCTCAGTTTCATGAAAAAGTCGCCATCCAACTGAATGATACTCATCCTTCAATGGCAATTCCGGAGATGATGCGACTTTTAGTCGATATCGAAGGTATGGACTGGAATCAGGTGAGCAACATTATTAAGTAGCTGCAGTATGTAAAGTATGGTTTTAAAAAGGAAGACTTAGCCATTCAGACCAGGATTCTTAAACTAAAAAGTGGGAACGCGTGATGGCATCCACAACCGAAATTGATCGATTTTGAGCCACTTTGAGTTATCACCACAAGATTACGCACATACATTGTTGCAAAGTGCCTCTGAGTTTTGAATAAAAGAACCAGCACGAGAAATGCATCAGTTATTTCAACTAATTCAACGCAGATAACGGTTATGCATGAGCCAGTTGATAACGACAAGCGTGAACTATGTTTAAGCCAAACTCTTCACTGATTTTGTCGTATCTGGAAATTGTTGGAGTTTTTTGAATTATCACGTAGTAGATATAGAAAAGAAATTAAACCCTATTATTAGCTATTTAGAAATTATTTTTATTGTGAAGGCAGTTGAAATTAACCAATATATAAAAAATTGTTTTTTTTCTTTCCAAGGCCTGGGAAATCGTCCGAAAGTGTTTTGCTTACACTAACCACACTGTTCTTCCTGAAGCTCTGGAGCTTTGGCCGGCTGACATAGTTGCAAACGTATTACCTCGCCACTTGGACATTATTTTCAAACTGAATCAGGACTTCTGCGATGTGAGTTTATTTCTGCATCTACAAGCATATACGTTTAGTATGCCATCAAAGAATATAATTTTTCACTACTTATAAAGTAAAACTTGGTTAAAATGTGAGTTGTGCGAAAGAAATAAGAATTAAATGAGGTAGAAGGGGGCTTGGTCGCCTCTCTTACAACCGCTTTTCGAGATCTCGAACGAAAATAAATAAGATTGTTTTGAATGCGTTTTTTCCTAATTTGATGCCTAATGGTTAAACCAACATAAACTAAGTTGAGAATTTTGAATGCCTGAGACACTTCAAAAGGTTTACTGTTTGAATAAAACCTGCCTTGATTGTTAACACGGATGCGACAATTATTGTAATTTTTTTGAGAATTTCTTTGACATCGCATCCCATAAATATAAGTATATTATGAAAATATTCCTGGAACCTTGTCGATGCAAACAATCCAATAACCCATGGCACAATATCTTGAATTTGGATTACTTTCTTTAAATACGGAAGTATCAATTTGTCGTTTCAACAGATGTTGCGCGAGAAATATCCTGGTGATGGGGGTAGGGTTTATCGAATGTCCATGTTCAATGATGAAGGCTTCAAGAAGCTAAACACAGCTCATCTCTGTATCGTCGGATCTCATAAAGTGAATGGAGTAGCTGCGATACACAGTGAATTATTGAAAAACTCTGTGTAAGTACTTTTTATTGCAGGGCAGAAAATACTTAGTTGCATGGCGTAAACGCGTTTGACCTTGAACTAACAGGGACAACTTTAATCATAAAAACAAAAATTATTTGATTTGCTGACTTTAATTTCTATATCTTTTATATTCAAACACCGATATATTATCGGTATGAAAACCTAGAATTTCTAAATATTAAGCTGAAAAATGAGTTTTTTTGCGCAAATGTCTAGAAGATGAGAAGCAACCATTAGAAGAAGCAGTGTGATGTGATTACAGATAAAGGAAGTATTTTACAATAAGAAAATATCAAGATTATCACATCTTTAGGAGGTATCAGAACTATTTATAGAAAATTTCGACCTTTAAAATGTCTCCAGGCTAAATTCGATGGCAAAACTTGACCAATATAACCTGCTAATTTTGAATGATTAGAGACAGACTAAACAAGAAGGAATTTATTGAAAATGTCGTGCCGTAAGTTAAGTAGTAAAGTATTATATGGAAGTCATGTTCAAGTCTGAAACACAACGTCAAAAAATGATAAGCATTAACTACTGCGTGGGTCGAACTTTTAACAAGACAGCTTGAGAGTTATGACTGCTTAGTGAGTGTGGATTCTCTAAACACAATAGAAGACGTAAGTTTTTGGATTAGAGATTCTGAGTTACGTTTGCACCTTTTCCTTAAGTTGCTACATAATTTTATTCTATTTACTTTTTTTGAATAACCGCCAAGCACTTAAAAGGTGCAAATGCCCCCAAGGAGGTTAGGCAAATCTAAGTAGACAAATCAAAGAACTCCCGTGAATCGCAAATAAGTTCCGACACTTAAAGTTCATTACTTTTTTCTTTACATTCAGGTTCAGAGATTTTTATGAACTGTGGCCTGAAAAGTTTTGTAATAAGACTAATGGTGTTACCCCGCGCCGTTGGCTTAAACTTTGCAACCCCGCTCTCTCCAAGTTCCTGACAGAAAAGCTGGGCGAAGAATGGGTTGTCGATTTTGATAGGATAAAAGATTTGAAGAAATTTATCGACGATGAAGAGGTTCTTCAGGAACTTACGAAAGTATGTGTCTTTTGAGAAGAGAGCTTCAGTTAACCCATTTGGCTGATTAACACTATTTTCTGTTTCAGATCAAAGATCAAAATAAGCTTAAGCTCTCCAACTACCTCTTCCATACTCTGAATGTTGAGGTCAACCCAAATACTATGTTTGACATCCAGGTAGGTAATCTTGTTTAGTTATGCCCATGAGGGTGAGATGAATTAATATGTATCTAAAGATGCAAATTTTCAAAAAAAAATTGTATAATATGTCCTTGTGATGGCTTCGCAAGTATTGGTTATCCTTTACCTTCCATACATTATTCCTGTTTGGTCTAAGAGGGAGGAAAACAGCTAAACGCGAACTCGAAGTGCACGTATGGGTTTCACTGTGAAAATAATGGGGTTAGTCGGCAGGTCGTACGTAACTCAGTTTCGTGTAGAATGAACTGAGATAATGAAAACAATGGTTAATGGGCCGATCTATATTCAAAAAAATTGGTGATTAGCATTCCGTCATTACCACAACCAAACCTCTGAAGACCGAACGCCTGTGGTGCTGTGTGGTTGTTTATCTATTTAAATGCGCTCGGTTAATAAAAAGATCTTCAGGGAAGTGGTACTAATGCTAGTTCCAGGCATAATTTTTACAAAGCAAAAAACGATGTTCTACCAGGCATTAAGTACAAATTTAATGTTAGTCTTGTACTTCTGACTAATCCACGAATATGGGGAGTAGTAGATCGCCAAGAACCAAATTATAATTTATGACAACATGCAAAATTCACTGCACACACTAGGTATAGTGGACAATGCAATGCAGTTCTGCGAGCCTAAGCAACCAGGGTCCTTCAATTGCTCACAGATAGTTAAAGAGAAGGTAGAGCCACTATACCACGCCATGGCCAAGTAGCAGTTAGTGGGGTCACTGGGAATTTCCTTAAAACTTTTTTTAAACTTAAGTATGTGTTTGTGTCTTTAATAAGCTAAGCAGGTTCATTGTTTTAGGTAAAGCGTATACATGAGTATAAACGGCAGCTACTGAATGTGCTTCACATCATGACAATGTACAATAGGGTAAGAAAGGACCCAAGAATTAATATGGTGGCGAGAACTGTTATGATTGGAGGGAAGGCTGCACCTGGTTACCATAAGGCCAAGCTCATCATCAATCTGATTAATTGCGTCGCTAGGAAGATCAACAACGATCCAGTTGCTATTGCTAAGCTTAAGGTATCCTATTTTCACGTTCACTTATACCACTTACTTCGAAATCGTTTTATTTTTACTACATATATCTCTAAGTAAGCAAGACTTGGATTTCGGTATGCTGCCACAGACGCCAAGGAAACATCGAATCTGTAAATCAAGCCTTATTTTATTCAATTACCCATACAGCTGCAGATTACAGTGAGACATAAAACGAAAGCAAAACACATAAGGGTTTAGAAAACGAATTGTCCATAAAACGTAAAAAGAAATGTGCTTCGGCAGTTTGTAGTTTTAAAGATCAATAACAAAAATTTTCTATTGATTAGTCTAATTTCAAGTTGTTGACCTGAGTACACATTTTTCGGAGAAAGCAACCAATGGGATCTGCATAGGTGGCTGTTAATAATGTCATATAATCTGCAGATAATAGTCTGGTATTTTAACAAAGTTTGAACATGAAATTTAGTTTCAATTAAATTAACTTCTCTAGGATTTACGCATTGCTTTATTTATATTCAGCTCAAATCACGACTTGGGTTTTTTAACAAATAATTGTGCACAGCATTTGTCAAGGCATATTCGAATTAGACACGGCAATAATAATGATTGGCTGCTGAATTGATTCCAGATACGTCAAATAGTGACTTTGGTATATATATTATAAACGGCCTTAAGTGGTTCTGACAATAAACATCTGGGTTTTTAAGGTGGTTTTCCTCACGAACTACAGGGTGACGTTTGCCGAACATATCTTTCCTGGTGCTGACCTCTCACAGCAAATTTCAACGGCAGGCACAGAGGCCTCAGGTACTGGCAATATGAAGTTCATGGTATGTCTGCATTATTGTGTCGAAAGCAATCCACCAGTCTGCAAAAGTGAAGAGTTGTCGACTCTTACACAGAAGAGATGCCTCACTAAATTTGAAGTATTATTCCTAAAGCTGACCAGCTCTTATTTAAGACATGCGCGTTGTTCAATTAAGGAGGATCTACGCAAGCCTTCGAAAATTCAATCAGCTTGCAAACACCATGAGGATAAGTACTGTTCTAGTCATTTCCAACAACTGCTCAAAACGCGAATATTTCCACTTGATTTTTATAAAATTTTATTTGCTTACGAATTTCAAAAAGCTATTTGAAGTACCGTTACTTGTAAAGAAATGTACTTTGGTGTGTCTTTTAATCAAACAGTTATTTACTTAAACATTTAAAAAAAAAACATTTTAAAAACATTTATTCATATTTTATGGTGGCAGATGAACGGAGCACTCACAATCGGCACAATGGATGGTGCAAATATTGAAATAGCTGAGGAAGTTGGTCAGGACAATATATTCATTTTTGGCCATACTCTAGAAGAAATTAATGACCTGAGGAGCAAGGGGTACGTCATTGAATTGTACGTAAATGAAAGAATTGTTACATGAACTCTAAGAAATAACCTATCAAATGTAGGTATAATCCAGGCCCCTTCATCTCCCACTCCTCAGAACTTCGTGAATGTCTGGATCAACTTCGTAATGGCTTCTATTGTCCAGAGGAACCAAATCGCTTTGTGGAACTTTATAATGACCTTACAACCCATGATTATTATTTACTTTGTGCAGACTATGCAAAGTATGTAGCCGCACAAGCTGCTGTAGATGAGGCATATAAGGTAAGACCACTATTTGATTCCACAGTTCGCAGTCTAAAAGATTTATCATTGAAAGTTTTAAAAGGTCAATTAATTTAAGATTGTTATAACTGTTGTTAATAATAAACAAAAGTATGAGCGAAACTTTCCATAACTTAGTGGAAATTTAAATGTCGGTTAAGTCTCACAACTCGTTGCCATAGACGTATTTTTATGAAAACGCACGATAAAAATTCACGACATTTTTATTCTTAGATATAAATTTTATTCCAAAGAAATAACACATTTGCTGATTGCAGGACCGTAACATGTGGGCGCGCATGTGCCTAATGAATATAGCCTCCAGTGCCAAGTTTTCATCGGACCGAGTTATTGCGGAGTATGCGCGTGATATTTGGGGAGTGCCTTGTGAGCGTCTCACTCTTCCTCCTCCTGTCTTTGATCCAGCTACCAGTGATATAGGCAACTTCAAGCGTTCTTCGCGTCCTTCAATCGACAACCGTTTTCACACTGTTAGGTGGGTTAATGTAGTAGTATATTTTTTCAAGTGAAGCCAACGCGTACGCAAAGTTTTTTGACTGTTCAGGTTTATTTCGTGAATCGTATTTGTAAAATATTTAACCCTTCTTGAAAACCACTTTGCAACAGGGTAAATAAGTCAATTTTTTAGCCTGGTTTAACGGTATGTGTCATAAGAAGGGTCTCACAAAAACGAAAAAGGCCTAAACTGATTACGTAACGGTATCAGATTTTGGGTCAATATTGACCAATCATTTGCGAATAAGGTAGAGGAACCGGACGATTGGCAAGTGTCAAAAAATTATTTTTCACCTTAGTTGATTTTAATATGACGATGCGGATTAACCAAATTGCAAAAAAAATTCAGCTTTCTATATTTAGCCTGATAAATGCATATATAACAAAGCCTGTTTCCTTTTCAGCAATGCATATGACTGATTACAAAGCAACATCGTTGACGAAACCCAGAATATTGTAATGACGGTTTTGTTCATTGACCATTACTATTTTGTTGTCTGACTACTTTCCTATGGCATGAGCCGTCATTGTTTGAAACATTGTTTATTTTTGTTGACTTTATAAGGAGTGTGAAATTCAGAAATTAGAGAAAATAGTTGCCTCAACGTACACATCGTTTGAGAAATTAACACCATTTGCAGCCAATAAAGATAGTGTACAGCATACTTTATGGAATATGCGTTTGACGTGCACAATGTTACACAGGCATGGTCATATGAACAATGAAACATGTACAGAGGATTGAAATGTTTTTTTAGTAAAAATGTACAATTAAAAATTTCTTGTGTGTTAGGATTCAAACGTAGAGCCAGTTTTGATCAAATGGAATAGGTGGATAAAGCCATGTGTGGCATTCGCTCGTATTTTTCAAGATTGGTGAAAATCATTTTTTGTTCATTTTTTACGAGTTCCTGCACCTGTTTAGATCATTATGGATTTAAGCAACATGGCTGTCCCTAGAAGTGAAATCGGAAATCACATGGTTATCTGTAACCCAGTGGTTTAACAACATAATTAATCAGTATTCTGCTAATTATGGAATATGATTTCAATATGTATTAATTTTTAGTGTTTCCAAACTGCTACAAAAGGCCCATTGGTGAATTCCAGGAATAAATTACTGGCATTCCAATGAAATCCATTAGAAGTGTCAATTGCAGAATCAGACTAACTTTGATTGAGTTGAAATAGTTTCTACTAGTGAAGAAAAGCAAGTTTCTAAGGTGTCAAACTTTATTATTTCCAGATGTGTCTCAATATGTAAAATGTTAATACATTAGATACAAAGTAACTGCTAAGAACTGTACAATATCCGAGCAGACTAGTAGATGTCACAATAAAAAAATAAAATAAAATAAAAATTAGTCTCCAGTTGCAAAAGACTAGACAGTGACACATAGTTGTTGTTGCTGGTTAATTTTTTCTTGAAGGTTTGAGTTAAGAAAGTAACCTATTTCTAATAGATGTGCATCTGCTGTTCGCCCAGAAGGCATAGTAAACTTAAGTCTACCTTAGTTTACTTCAATCCCTACTAAAAGCAAATAACTTTCTGGTCATTTCTGGTTATTGATTTTCACACCGGCGTTTATAGACTTCCGTGATTAATACATTGCTGTCATGTTCTTATGTAAATTAGCAAAGATGCATTTTATTCCTGATAGAGCTCTGATGGGTTTCAGAACATATAAAATATTAAAATGATTTCAGCGAAATAAAACAGGAAGCAAAATTAGGTATAAATGACTACAGCCATTGATTACAAGGGCTAAAATCTAAGATATGAGGAAAATTAAAACGTCAGAGTTAATGCGCACAATTACGGACAGCATACTTTATTGGGCTATCCATGGTCTACACTTGCATTCTGTTTATGAATCACCTCACACATAGGCCATCAGCTATTTGCAATACTCGATTTTCAAATAACAGTCAAAGTATCTTAGGCTCTAATGCTCTTCTTCATACGAATCTTATCAACATTCACTGTCATCATTTCTGTAATATCTGCCAGCAAAGCTAATTTCTAAGTGGTGAAAGTGATTTTTAGCATCCAGGAAGGGAGAGACGATAATGGACGACTTGAATGTAATTAACTGTATACTCTTACTCTGCAATTTTTGAATTTCCGATATATTTAGTATGAATCACTCAGTATAAAAATTTCTCATATTAGAACATAGACGATAAATACATTATTTCATCGTGTTTGATAAGTAAAACCATTGTAAAACGAATTGCTCATTGTTTGTTGGCATTACGATTTCAACGAAGAAATCGGAAAAGATAGGCAAACACTATCAAACACTAAACTTGCCCTTTTTGCTTTTTTTGACAATTCAAAATGTAGTTCTAAAATAATAAATGTGATGTAGCCAGTTTGGAGCTAGTCTGCCATCAATTTCAAATTACTAATTATTTCGTAAACTGAAACAATTATTGCTATTGATGAACTGTCAAATATTAATAATATTTAGCTTTTATTATAGCTTTTACTTGTGGTAAACATCTGATTCGCAACAAATTAGTGAGTCTTTTTTCATTTTAATTAACGAATTCGTGTGCCATTTCAGTGTGCGCCTCAACCCAACTGAATTGTTGTATATATGAGCCCCAGTGTCCTTAAAATATTTACATTAACACATGCCTTCTAAAAGTAATACAAGTAAAGCGTGTATCAGTTCCCGAAAATCCGAGATCGCTTTAGTGGCTATGCCTACTTTTGGTTGTAAAATATCGTTGACTGCAGGTTATCCACGTAAGCGCATACAACACACTTAAAGAGGGGTTTGGCAGAGCTTACCGCTAGATCAAATATTACCGCAGCTTCTGCTGGTCGCACAGAATGACAATCGAGCCCCAGAATGAAGAAGTCTGGTAAAAGAAAACAGGCACAATTTACTTGCCATAAGCCATCATTTGGGTTCACTAGACAGGATGTACCACTATTATTCAGTGCTTCCCTTCCTTCTTTGTGCCTCGTTTATCTCAGATTTTATCTGTAGGCTCTAAATACACAGAGAATCAGACTATTGGCTTAGCTTATTGGGCGATCTAATATGGCTGCGCCCTTGATTCGCGTTTGTCCTGCCGTCGCGTTGTGGTGTTCACTGGTGGCATGTTTAACATTTACTTCAAGTTAAATGTTCTTGCGGCACTATGTTCGACTCTCTGGAATAATATAAATGACTGTGATGAAACATTTAACTACCTTGAACCCCTTGGGTTCATCATTGCCCCACAGAATAACACTGGTTTCCAAACTTGGGAGTATTCTCCTCAATTTGGCCTGCGATCCTATTTATATCTTTGGTTCATTGGGTGGCCAGCATTTTTGTCGGCCCATTTAGGGTTATCAGGATGGTTTCAATTCTTTGTGGTTAGGTTGTTTTTGTCGCTGCTCTCTGCAACTTCTTCGACTCTCTTAGCAGCTTCTAGTGCACAGTACCTCTTTCCTGAAAATCCCTTTAAGAGGTGCACTTTTGGAATCATATTTTCCATAGTTCATTGTTTTTCGCCTGGATCTTTCATATCTTCATCATCTAGTGTACCAAGTGCCTTGGCTGCGTCCGTGACTTCCCTAATGTTGAGCGCATGGATCAGTGGACATTTATTTTACAGTGTTGGTGCCGTTGCCTTTAGCTCCATTGTTTTGTGGCCGTTCTCAGCCTGCCTTGGGATACCTTTGGCAGTGTCCTTCCTGCTATCTGGGATGGTTTACCAATTTGTAACGTTTTCTGTATTTTGGGGTCTTGTCTTTATCTTCCCAATGCTACTTATTGATGGCCTTTATTATGGTAGGTTAATTTGTCCGGCCTGGAATATAGTAGCATATAATGTTCTCAGCTCTTTAAAAAATCGAAGCTTGTCTCAGCTCTACGGGACAGAACCCGCAAGTTTTTATGTTAATAATTACTTATTGAATTACAATGTTGCAATTATTTTCGTGCTTAACTTTGGAATCCTGACTTTCTTATACCTACTATTAAAACATTGTAATAAAACGGCTGAGACTTTCCATCAAAAAGCGTTGAAGCTTTTTTTTGTTTCTTCTGCACCGTTTCTCATTTGGAACGTGGTGTTTTTCAGCCAATCTCACAAGGAAGAACGCTTTCTTTTTCCTTGCTTTCCTTGTATCGACTTGCTTGTCACGCTGTTGATATCTGTACTCTTTATTGGCCAGCGCGGGAAAAATAGCATCAATACTTGTATTTCAACTTCCATTGTAATTTTCTTCCTTTTTGTATATGCAATTTTGGGTTTACTTAGGATTCTGGCATTAATACAGGGATACAGCGCACCGATGTTTCTTACACAACATCTTCCATTCAATGATGACCCGAGAGTTCTTTGTATCGGACGCGACTGGCACCACTTCCCCAGCCACTTTCTTCTGCCCGGTGGTAACACCGGATGGAGAGTTAACTTTCTGCGTTCGGATTTTGACGGTCAGCTCCCAGGGAAGTATACGGAAGGCGTTGGCGTCTTCAATGCAACTAGATCCCCTAGCAGTCACTTTAACGACATGAATTTACCTGAAGAAGGCACATACTTCAATGTTGACAAGTGTGATTATATTTTCGACCGGTTTTCAAAGCCAGGGAAAAATGAGGTGCAGTACTCCGACGATGCAAAGACATGGCGCGTTTTGATGACGAAACCCATTCTAGAACGAACTCAATTTGCTCTTGGCGCATTTCCACAGCAAACAATATTTCAAAAAGCCTTTGCAAGGTTTCGGAGAGCATTCTATTTACCGTTTTTGTTTAAATCTGGTAATGTCTGGAATGATATGCATATCCTGGAAAGAATTAAGTACCCATGAATGTGGCATTTTTTAGAAATGTCTCCTTTATTCAGTGTCCGTTTCGAATGCACTTACGATTATGTCTATCCTTGAATGCTAATGGAATATCATTGAAGTTTAATTTCAACCGCCAAATTTTTCAAAGCTTATCGGCAGGTAAAAGTTTATCATATACATTAAGTCGTTTAAAATCCCTTGGTTTACGTTGTTGAGCTTTAAAGTAATGAGGTCTTAATGCTCGTTGTAGATCTTCTGTTTACTTTTCAAACAGATTTTAGAACTATTATCGAATTTTCGATTGTGGGCTAATGAAATAGCTTTGACAAATACAAGCAAATCCTAGTGTATTCGTTTCTACAAACGATCATTTTCAATCTCGTTTCCAATATACCTTTGCCTTAAACTTATCAAAGTGCATAATTTTATGTTGGTCTCAGTCTGGGCACTAACATCTAGTACAATATTGCTCACGAAAAAATCACATGATCCCAATAAGTGAGAAGTGATCTGATAATATCTTGCCTACCTTAAAGAGCAGGTTCTAGAAATGCTGCGCTTCGAGTCCCTGTTCCGGCTTATCGTTTGCAAGAGCCGGATCGTGTAAAGCCGTGGGAATACATGAACGCGACTTCGAGTGTGAGTGCAGTGAGGTGAG